GAGGGAGAGGGAGAGGGAGAGGGAGAGATCAAAACAGTTATAAATTTGAAAGACATCAGATCCTAAGTATCATTTAAAGTTATGGGCCAGATGAGATCATCTGGAAATGGAACAGGGTCTCAGGGTTAAGCAGAGAAAGATTCAATGCATCCTGGCAAGTACAAGAAAGCCAGAGATTAGAAAGGGGAGGAGGAGAGAGTGTTCGGCCACATGCAAGGCTTGAGAGCCTAAGAAAGAATAGCTCAGAGAGGAGCTACTCAGCTTTTCAACCTTGATGTTGTCTGTGAGCTCCACAAGGCTATGGCGAGAGGGGAGGAATTACCAGTGCATATATGAGCAGAAATGACAGAAGGGAATTGTTGATGAGGTCAGCGACTAGAATCAGCACATGTGGGTGACTGTTCGGAAACTTGGGAATTTAAAAAAGCAGAATACTAGGGCTTTTCTAGAAGAGGGTAAGGGCCAGGAAACAGGTAGAAGGAGAGGCGAGTAAGTGCACAGTTGTGGGCAGGCAAGTGCCTCAAAGGACAGGGATAAAGGGAGCTGCTGAGGAGGGGGTGGGTAAAGGGTAGGGAGTGTTTGCAAAGGTGAAACCAGATAGAAGCAGGGGATTCGAGACCCATGGGGGACTATAGAGAGCCTCTCAGAGGTGGCTCCTGATCAGGGGCGGGCAGAATCATGGTGTGAGCTAGGAGAAGTGAGGGCGGGATTCTGAAGACAGAGAAGTATGTAAAGAATCCTCTTGCAGAGGGTTAAGAAACATCTTTGGAATAATATCAAGGTTTTTGGACTCTCTGGGCCCACGTAGGATGGTTTTGGGAACTATCAGTCTTAGCAAATGCTACTTAACAGTATTACAGTAGACATGTACACATGTAAACACACACACACACAGAGTTCAGCTTCTCTGAGGAAATGGGGGTGGGTGGGCAAGCCGTGCTTTGATGCTAGAATCTGAGTGGAGTTAGCTGCTGTAGTAGTATTCTCAGGTTGCCATGGCCAAGTGTCACAGGCTGTGGCTAACAATAGAGTGAATTGCCTCATGGTTCAGGAGGCTGAAGTCCACCACCAGGGTCCACAGGGCTATTTTCTCCTGAGACCTCTCTTAGTGCCTTGCAGGTGACAACTTCAGCCTGTGACTCCACACGGTCATTTATATGTGTGGGTCTGTGTCCTAGCTACCCCCACCTTCTTAGGATCCATGCTGATGAGACCCCATTTAATTTAATAAACCCTC